TGAGTTGATGTGTTGACAAAACTCTTGTGATTTCTACCAGAATTTGGAGCGTGTTCTCCGAGACCTGGTGACAGAGAATGCTCATCTCCAGTCCCGTGTGCAGGCCAGGGAGCTCACAGGACAGGGAGATTGCTCGAAGGTATAGAGCACAGTGTATAGCAGACTTAGGGAATATATTTCACTATGTTGACTGTTGTAGGATGAGGAAAGTGAGAGGGAGAAGCAAGCCGCTCAGACAAGAGCTGACAAGAAAAGAAGCGGAGACAGACTCGGATCTAGCTGCAGCACAGCAGCAATTGAGAGTCAATGTGAGTCTTAAAGATGATATAGTTGCACAGTCAAGTGTTGTGTGTTTTGTGATCGCAGGAAGAACATTTGCAAGCAACTGAGAGGGAGATCAGACACTCAGACAAGAGCTGACAAGAAAAGTGAGTATTCAGCCTTTTTTTAGGCATGTCTGCCACTCTCTCACGTTTCTGCAGGAGACAGAGCTGACGAGAAAGGAAGCAGAGCTGACGAGAAAGGAGGCAGAGGTGACGAGGGCAGAGGAGACTATCAGGAGAGAGCAGCAGCAGATTCAGGAGATGAGACAGAGAGTTAGTCTAGTGTGTGGAGTTGTGTGTTGTGACTAGAGGTCCTCCTGACTGCAGGAGACTGAGTTAGTGCAGGCCAAGGACAGGGAGATAGCTCTGCTTCAGCAGCAACTGGGGGGAAAGGTCAGTCATGAATGGTATACCCTCAATTCACTGGCTATGAATATCAGTATAGCTCTAATTTCACACACCTGAATGTGTAAGAGTATGTGTGGTAACTATAAGAATGTGAGTAAAAATTGTTTCAAATTGCCCTCCTTTGTCATCGACTCACAGTCTTTCTGGACTCAAAAGCAACCAAAATAGCATACATTTGTGGCAGCAAGACTACTGTGTTTCTTACTTAGCGAGTTCGGTAATTTGCATAATGACAGTGATATTAACTTGTGGTCCAACTTCAAACAATCCAGCCCTTGGAATATAAGCTGTATTTAACTCTAGTCTGCCCATTCTACACTTTGGAGGAGCCAGACGTTGCGGGGGGTGTCCTTTATTGTCACACGAGCATCACATGCGTGCCCCGAGGAGGCGGGCCGCTCGCAACGCCGCATGGGGCCTTGGCCTGGCACGTGCTGTCACATGACATCATGCATTAGGTCATGGGCTTCGTGCATCGTCCCATGTGACCTCACATGCCCGAACTGCTAATTGCCGGGTATATGGAGCTATTGCAGGCCACCCCCCACAGCATGCTTCTTTGGGGGAGTATGATTGCGAGCCCCTGTCGTTAGGGGTGAGATCACCCCGCTGCTTTGACATGCCTGTCTGGACATCACATTCAAGCATGATGGAGATCGACTTTGAGCTACCCACCCGCTACCCGGTGCTCGGCCGTGGTGGTGGGATGGAGTTTTGCGATAGTGTGACACTTGCAGCAGTCTGCTCGTGGTCAACTGACTAAATGGCACCGTGCCACGTGGGATATCTTGGGCATGCGTATTGGCTGCGCATGCGTCTCCACTGCCTGATTCCCTTGCACAATATGCGGGTGCGCCTGGGACTGGCTCCCTTCCGTTAACTACGTTTAACCTTCTGTTAAACTACATTCTGAGCTGAGGGCTGACAACATCTGTATTGGACAGGAAGTCCTTATCACAACATCTAGTGCTGGGCATAGTGTAAATTGTCTGGCTTCCAAAGTTTACACAACACCATAATGCAGCAGAAATTCAGCATTGTGATTGGCTAGTTTGGACTACAAATCAGAAGTTTTCTGGTCTCTAAATTGCATGCAATGACATACGTATGTTGCACAGACTCCCCTGGGGTTTGGGAAGGTGCCGGTCAAGGTAAGTCCCATTGTCACACTCCTCCAGCCCCTTCCCTCCTCCCTTTACCACCTCCCGTCCCTTTACCACTGTCCCTGTCAACGTCTTCCCTGGGACTCTCACTTGGCCTACCAGCGAGAAAGTAAAGCTTGTTTTCTATTAAAGCTGCACCGAATTTGAACGATGTATGCATTACATATCTCTAAACAGGTTGGCCTCGTCCATTGAAGAGCCTTGGTTGTAATCCTTGTGGTCAAACACTATTGCTCTGAACCTGAACTGGTGCGTACTCTTTGGATCCAACCCAGTTTGACCAGCACTGAATTCATTTTGAATTGCAGTCTTGTGCGTTGGTCGATCGGGGCATTGGGGCACGTGACAACGATTGAAGATTCTTCAAAGATAGTGTGTGTTAGGCAATGCTGGACTCCATTTTTTCCTTCAAGTCAGAGAATAAGGTAGCGTTTTCTTTTCGCAGCTCTATTGCTATAACTATATATAGCCATGTTAGACATTGCCTTATAGTTTGCCAAACACAAGGTTTTCACTTGTTATTCACTCTTCGCTCTCTGTCTGTCCCAGCACTCTTACACATGTCAGGTCAGTGGACCTGGTCTAACATCAGCCACAGTCAACCAACCAACACACGTCCTAGTCCAACTAACTGACTCTAGTGGTAGACCATACTCACTTCCACTGAATGTCACCGCACAACTTGAGCTCGTTTCAAAAGCCACACCCACAAAAACCACACCCACTAGTCCACCCGTAGTACTGTCACGAAGAAACGATGCCCATAGTATGGCGTGTCTGAAACCTCCCTCCCAATACGAGGTGTCGTACACACCAGTCAGTCGAGGCCAACACAAACTCCATGTTCAAGTCAACGACAGAGAAATCAATGGCAGCCCCTTCACTGTGACCGTGTACCCTGACCCCAGACAACTAGGCCACCCAGTGAGGACTGTGACTGGATTGACCTATCCATATGGCATTGCCTTCAACAGTCATCAGGAGATGATTGTCAGTGAATGTGGGGGTCATAGAGTGTCTATCTTTGACATCAGAGGACAGAAAATCCGAACATTTGGATCACGTGGTGACAGTCCAGGATCAGAATGTACACCTAAGGATAGCAACTGATGATACTGACAAATTTATGTGAGCAATCGAGCAACAGACTGCGAGTTAGAATCTGGTCTTGGGGTCTAGCTGAGTTCGAGCTAACGAGCTACGTGTAGATGATTTCTCCTTGGAGTGAATCTAGCTGATCAGAAGGTATTGGATCAGAAGAAACGGGATACAGTTTGCAGGCTAAGCAGCGAGGGAGGTATGGTTGTCCGATGACCGGGTCTCGACGAACTGTGTGGTCGACACATGCGTCGCATAGTATCAACAGTCGCATTATATGAGTGTATATATGTAGGGGTTCGACTCATGCAGAGACGTCATCGCTACCATCTTGCAGATCGCGTGTCGTTGAGCTACATGCACTTGAACTTGCTCCGATGTCGCACTCATGTGTAACCACATGACTCGGACGCAGCAGGAGTGTAGGATCAGCAGTATCGCTGATGCAATCGTCAAT